CATGGTCGGCGAGATTCCTAGCCGCTGTGCCATATATATATATATATATATATATACATTCTTCAAACATAGTATAAATTAGGTGAATGTGGATTGAAAAAATCAATAAAATTATCCCCCACACACTTATCTAGACGATGGACACTGTTCACTTAGGTTAAGCAGGTAGAGAAAAGACAAACAAAAGATAAGATAATAAAAGGGGAAGAGAGAAAGAATCATGACGACAAATAGTGTAATGTATTTTAAAGTTTTAAATCATGAAATAATACACTTTAACTGAAGTGATATTCTTCTGTGCTCTCTATAAAGTACTTATGAATGAATAACATATGTTAGTTAGTAAGTTACCTGTTGCTATGCTGTGAGTCACACTTATTCTATCAACTTTCTCAAGCTGGAGTAGGTGGAGACAGATTCAAACCAGTAACCTATTTGATAGTGTGAAATATTCCCATATCCCATGAATTAAAAGCCAATCTGAACGAAGAATATTCTTTTCTATAATTTCTTCTCTTCAGGTTCTTACAATTATATAATATAATATTTGTTGTCGTTATTGTTACAAATATTTTTATTCCAATTATGATTATTGTTATTATTATTCGTCATCATTCATACCCTTCACACAAACATTCCCTCAATACTATCGAATTTTTCATTTATAATATCCGGACTTATTATTAGTGATATTATGTCTTTTCTCAATATATGCCCTCCACCTGTTTCTTCATTTCACACATTCGTTATCTCATTATGAACCACCTCTCATTGCAGTCTTACTATCTCCTGTTTAACACAAACCACTTAGTACTAGCCACTCACTCACCTGACGCCTGTTATAAGCTTGAACTGTCTTGTCAGTTTTCCTACCCCACACTTTATAAGTCTATTATGACGACTAATCACCACCATTGTCTCCCATTTTACAATTTTCGATTTCAGCCTAGCACGACGTTTGTCACATAGATACGACTATTTATTTTGAAACCTCATAACTAATCTGTTATTCTACGTTAAAAGTGTATCCATCACATAATTAAATGGTTATCATTATTGTAACGACAACAAATATCACATTTTCTAATTGTAAGAACCTGAAGAGGAGAAATCATTGAAAAGAATATTCTTCGTTCGGAGTGACCTATTTACTTTAAGTTGCGTGTATGAGTCACTGGACAAAATCGCCAAAAAATAACGTCTACATTGCATTATTCTTTTAGTAATGTATATTCTCAGTAAATCGGTGGAAAAGGATTTCTATCTTTTGCAGCCTCATCAACAGAATAAGATAAACCAGAAAGAATCTGGCAATTAATAAGTGAATATATATATATATATATATATATATATATATCACTACCTCTATGACCACTTTTCAACCACCTTACAAAGCATCTACAACTACCAGTTCTTAGCAGCCTGACAACACCAGTAAGATAGTCTACAGTATTTATCAATCAAAAAAACACTGGAACAGTTTTTTTAATTTCACCGAAATTTACACAAATGTAATTTTGAGACACGTGCGTAACAGAGTATTTTGTCAGCATAGTTTTATTCCTATTCGCTGATTTACCAACCATAGTTGTTTTGTCCTATTTTGAAGCTCTTCATCAGTACGCACTCATTACCACACAGAACCGGAATCGAACCCAAAACCTTCAGGTTGCGAGGTGAGCTTGCTAACCGCATACAAGAATATTATATCTTGTTTTGTCGTCTAATTCTCTTTATTGAGGTACTTAAATCCCCTTTTTATATAATGTACACTATATGAAGTCTTAAAATGTAAATGATTGCTTAAAAAATTTAAGTCTAAAAGAGAAAGATATACAATAGACATTTCCATAAATGTAAACTACTGGATATCATCAATCAATGAACGATTAAACAAAATATCCACACAACTGAAAAATGTAGTACTAATTATTGAGTTGATTCTGGATTGATATCAGTTAGAGAACCATTGAAAACCAGGGAGTACTGGACAGCCAGCTATTTCATCCTAGTTTGGGAACCATCGGAAGTACGCACCTAATGCCAGGCTTCAAACCCAGGACCTTCCGGTTACAAGACAAACTCGCATACCATTGGTAGAAGTTAAAATTCATGAGCCATTGAATCGGGTCCCAGTGGCTTAATGGTATATGAGCTCACTCGTTTTGTAACCGGAAGGTTGTGGGCAGTGGGTGCATACTGCCGATGATTCCCAAACTAGGATGAAACAGCAGCTGTCCAATACTTCCTGGTTTTCAATGGTTCTCTAACTAATATCGATCCGTGATCAACTCATAAAAACAAAACCAGCCCTTACAAACCAAAATATAGAAAACCAATTTATAAGTTTATTTTTTTTTCTATCCTGATTCTCAACACTCCCAGGTGTTCCAGTGGTTCTCTAATTGATGTCAGCTCATGATGAAACCTTGCAACCAACCAAACACAATCCCTACAAAAAAAACCAATACTTGTAAACTTTTAAATCATTTTCATTAGGCTTCTGGCTTATATCTCAAAATAAAAGTAAAGTACAGAAAAATTATGAAGTTATTGTCTTCATAATTCTCCCCCCACCACCACCATCATCCGCAAAAAACATAATGGAATAAATAAGAGTTGGGAAAAACACTCAATAAGAAACAATCTTGTTCCATCGAATTTTGTAATTAAAATTCAAAACGCAAGACAACAAATCTCATATTAGATGTTACTGATATAAGAAGATTTGTTGCAATCATTCATTGAAATGAATTTTTTCCTGACGGAATTCCACTAAAGTTATCTTTAAAAAGCTAGGTGTACTGGACAGCAGTTTTGTCCTAGTCTGGGACTCTTCGTCAGTACGCGCCCACTGGGGTTCAAACCCAGGACCTTCTGGTTACAAGGCGAGTTTCTGGCTTGGCTTCCGGTGGCTCAATGTTCCAGGAGCTCGCCTGGAACCCCGGTGGATGCGGACTAATGAAGAGTCCCAAACTTGGACGAAACAGCTGTCCAGTACTCCCAGGTTTTCCAATGGTTATCATGATGAAATCCTCCAACCAATCAAGCAAAAATCCCTTCAAAACCAATACTTGAAATTAATCTAATGCTCACAGACCACTGGTCCTATTCAGGCATTGACCTGGGGTTCTAGTTGGAAGCGATGAGCAGTAGGGTACAGTAGGTTGAAGATGAGGCAGTAACTCATCGAAGAACACATTTCCTTTAAAAACTGAATTCACTCAGATCACACCATATTATCTGCTTGTTACCAGGAGGTAGTAATCACAAAAGCAAGCATAAATGAACCTTTCTTTATAATACAGTGATTGACTGTGAGTACTTTGAAACCACTCATACCGACCAGTAAGATTTACTGGCTAGATCAAATTAGTCTAAACAGTGGATGACCAATGTGTTATCAATTCTCTGAGGTAGCCAGCCGAAATTTCGATAGTTTGAAATGATTCTCCTCTCTGAACTGAGTCATATAGGGTTAACGGTTGATGATCTTCGCCTCAAAATCAGTAGAATGACTCTCTGATAATCAAAAAACACTGACTATCAAGCACTATTGGTTGACCTGTGAGGTATCCAACTACTTTTATCATCAATCAACCATTCACAGTACATAACAGTGTGAAGTAGACGTTATTTCCACCGGCACTGACTTCAAAGAAAGTCATGATAAAAAACAATGAAATAAATATTTAAGTTCACTAGTATTACGGGTTAAACAAAAACGTATTCGAGAAATAACATATAAACAATTTTTTTCAGATGGTTTTAATTCTCAAAAGTTATTGAAAGTACATCAAAAAAGCTCGGGGAAACTGATTTGTATAGAAAGGTAAATTAGTAGACAATTGGGTATTCATAATTCCAAGGAGAACAGACTGCTGAATCAATCTTACAGTTATGTTCAAGTTCAACTGACTTTGTGTAAAAGCCTTCATTGAAAATTACCTGTTGATCTTTAAACTGACTGATTACGTTGAACAACGATTACTTAGATACTTTGCTCTGATAAACCTACAGTTTGTTTAAATCATTCTAAGTAAGGTGAATACACATGGGAACAAGCGAGGTCTAGTCAAGAGTAACACATGCTGAAATTACTAACCGAAAAAATAAATAAAGCCAGTCTAAACACTACTTTTTCTCTGGCCTTAAGAATATTAACAGTAACGTCGGAAAATTTAAATTGCTATATCAGTCAGTGCTACTATACGGATCAGAGACTTGACCAGCACGTCATAAAGAGCACCTCGTACAAACTACAGACCTTCATTAACAGTTGTCTTCGCTCAATGCGACTCAAGATCAGATGTCTGGCCAGGAAAGATCAGCAACAGGGATCTCTGAGAGAGAACCAACCCAGCAGGAACCGACTGTGCAACAAATAAGCAGGAATAAATGGAGATGGATTGGCCATACACTGAGGAAACCATCAAGTGACATCACTAAACAAGCCCTCGAGTGGAACCCAAAAGGGGAGCCGCGAGTTGGTCGTCAGTGCAAGGGTAACTTGGAGGAGGTCATATGAAGAGGAGACTTGGAGCGGGGTGAAAAATTTGACAGAAAACAGAAGGCAATGGAGATGCGCAGCTGAAGCCCTATGTTACTCTAGGAATTAAAGGATATAATAATAATATCATCACTAGAAAATATGAAATAAATTATTAACTTCTCAGGTAAACATCAAAAACAGTTACTGGTATTTTTGTTAGAACAAAATAAACTGAAATATCTAAACCACAAGATGGGATTTATCATATTAAATAATTACAGGTAATAATGAGTATAATCTACACAATTTAAAAACTAAAATCAATTAATTATCTCCCCCACCCACCTTTACTTGTCTATGAAGAGCGTGTAATAGACAGACAGAAATATATCCTCTTCCTAAAAAGAAGCCAGGTGCCCATAAATGTGTTAACCAATCAGATTAAAGATAATACGGCCGTCATTGTGGGCATTTAATGAGAAGATAATAATATGTGCAGCTCTCTGCCCACGCGTCTTTATGAACAAAAAGTAGTATAAATAAGCACATCCTACCTGCGTTGTCTCATTTTCGGAAGCTACTTGTTTTAGAGTAACTTTGTACCGTTTCTGTTATTTCTTTTCTTAACAATGGTAAGTCTCAAAAATGGTCTTTGTCATTTAATTTATTAAAATGGTTTTTTTAAATTCAACTTAGTTGATTTACTCCTCTGACATTTAGTTTTCATACACTATCTGTAAACGGCATATTATCACTGTCAGCTTATTGTAGTAAAGTGAGGGGTTCTATTGTAGTTGAAATTTAACCTGAAAAAATGTCTGAATATAGGTAATCTGATCAGAATCGTTTTTAATAGTTAATTTTGCTTTTAACATTTTTAGCATAACCGTAATTTTTATTAGTGATGACTGAAATTCTACCAGCGAGACTCAACTGTTAAATAATTTAGAGTATAGGACAAATTGAAAATAACTCAATTTTACTAAATAAATATAAGATGTTTCTATCCAGTTAAGAGAATATCAGTTTTGTACCTTAAATATCCAAAAATATTTGGTCATCAGTTTGAGAGTCCCTATTTCTGGTATTTTTCACTGAATTGAGAATAAGTAATATTGTTTTTTCTAAGATTTTATGAACTTCTTAGATATATTATAGTTTCTGGGTAAAGATGTGTTAACTCTTATTCGATATCCTAGGCTTACTCACTTTTTTGTATTTTGTACTATCTTAACCTAGGCCGGTATAAACATTCATGCAAGTGATCAAGCTAGTCGACTATTCGCTGAGACGGCACTAATTCCTTCCTGTCATCCATTGGCTCCTGCTTCATCCAGCCCACCAAAATTTGGTACACTTATCCCAAATCGCATATTTGTTGGAGGAATACCATCAAATGTAAGTTCAATTAAATCATTTTATCCTCAATTTAAGACTACTGAACAAGAACTTAAGTCGTTCTTTTCAAGTTTTGGTCAAGTAAAAGATGTTAAAATTATAAATGATCGTCTTGGAATATCTAAAGGGTAGGTTAATTTTAAAAAAGACAAACAATTCTAACCATTAAACAGAAGTTACGGTTTTGTTACTTTTGAAAGTCAAGAAATGGCTGAAAAAATTATCAAGAATGAGGTTAGTCTCTATGCTTTTATTAATTATTATTATCTTTTAGTCTGAAACATTAATTTTCAAAGATCGAAAACTGAATATCGGTTATGCAATTCGTAAACAACAAATTTTCCCCCGCCCTGGTATGTGTTTGTTTTGCTTTGCTTTTGTTCTGTCCTATCTTCACATCCTTTCTTTTTCGGTATTTTTAATAAAAGAACTTTTCTTTCTTCTTTGATAGACCTTACAACTGCATTATTCTTCACTGGTGGTGCTATGCCATATGGTTTTCAAAATAGTATGGCTGTATTCCCCCTACCTGGTCAGGAGTATTCTATGTTAACTCAGGTAAGTAATTATATCTTTCTTTATTGGTCAAGTCATAACAAGTAGTAGTAGTAGTAGTAATCAGTACATGAGAGACTGTAGAATTATTTTTTTTTGGATGGATTTTGTCTTATCTATCTGACCTAGGTACTACTGCATTACTGAATGTTATTGAACATTTTATTGTAGTTTCCTAGCTTTAGATAGTGTCACCCTGTAAATTAAACTGCAAACAGATGTAGCATACCAGATAAAAGATGAACATAATTGTTACCATGGTAACTAGTGAAAGATCTATATGAAAATATTAAGTATTCAGTTTCTGCCATTATCTGCTCAATTTTTTTTGTACGTTTCATGATAAATGTTCCACAGAAGGACTTTTTTAAATTTTTAAGATGTTATATTTCGTTCAAATAGTGTTTTTTTTATATAAAAGTCACTTTATATTAAGTTGATAAAAATTTGAGTCAGGGAAAAGGAACTAACAATACAGACTGTTAGTTTTTGTATTTTCATACTGAATATTTCACTGTAAGCTTTTGGAGACATTTTGTAATATGAAAAAGATCTAATGTATCGTTTTTTAGGATAAACGTTTTAATCTCAAGGATAAAAAATCTTTCATGTTGAAATTTGAGTGTGAACTGTTGAATAATAATAATAAATAATTTTTCCTTCACGTTCCCCAGTGGAACATAGGGCTCCAAGCTAGTGGCTTGAAGTTTCTGTAGCAGAGTTTATTTTAGAGGATGGGGTTGCTAGCCCCATGCCCAACCTTTCCTCTTTACCAGGTTTTATTTCTGGCTTAGCGAGGTAAAGGAGTGCGCCGGCCGGGGATCGAACCCTGGACCATGCGCATGGTTGGCGAGCGTCCTAACCGCTATACCACCGACGCACGAACTGTTGAATATAACTTATTAATTAAAAAGTGCTTGAAAATATAGAAAATATAATAGTAATAAAGTAGGTTACCAGCATAAAAGACAGTTATATTAATTTTATATCATGCTGCTTTAACTTTATGATAAATAATGGAACAACTTCCTGTGGCATAAGTCTAGTAATGATCTATAAAATAAATCTTAGTAAATCTCTGGCTACAAAAAGTACATCATCTATACCTGTATTATGAATTGTTTGTGATTTATGAAATTTTTATGGGGCGAATTAGTTTGCTAAACATTTTGTTTTAACTCTTTGTCAATGTCGTCCATCAAAAATTGTTTGAAATTACTTAATGAAATGTTAACCAAATGTAGTAGGGAGGTTGTACCTTATAATTGTGGATGTCATTCTTATTTTTTTTTTGACTAAATTGAATTATCATAAATTTATGCTGTAAATGTGAATAACAGTGAGAAATACATAGATGCATGGTTCCTGAAAATTTTCTTTTTCTTTTAATTAATTTAGACGGCAGCTCCTTATGCTACAATGATGCTTCCTCAACCGAGTGGAGGGACAACACTGTATCTACCGCCTTCTTTACATTCAACTGCAACTGCTCCTGTGTCAGCATATGCACATATTTCACAGCATGCAGTAACAGCTGCACTTCAACAACAATTTCATCAAACAGGAACACCTTCCGGTTTAACACCAGCTGTTGTTGGTCAAATTGCCCCAGTGAATGTCAGTACAAATAATACTAGTCCTCAGTCTCAATCAACTGCTGCAGTGATGGCTGCTGCTGCAATGGCTGCCGCTGTCCAATGGCCACAACAAACACCTCAGAATAATCAACAAAGTCCTCAACAATTAGCTAATGTTGCTGTAGCTCAAGGTATTGCTCAAGCAAACAATGGTCATCATACTGTTGGTCAAACAACAACAATAACTCAACAACAAGCTACTGCAATGGCTGCTGCTGTTGCAGCCCAACAGCAGCAGCAGCAACAACAAGCAACTTGGCGTTGGTCACCAAATTTACAACAAACACAGAATACTGTTCATGGGACAAGTCCTCAGTCTGGTGTATGCGCTATCACTACATCTTCTTCAGGTATAGGAGTGACGGCTTCAACGCCAACTACATCTAATCAAAATATTCAACCAAATCAACAGGTGAGTGATTCAGACTTATCCTTATTACAATCAACAATCGATACACTACCGTCTACTCTTCTATTAACACCGAATTCAGCATTAACAGCATCCACTGCAGCATTTCTTGCTGCTACAGCTATGCAACAATCAGGTGGAAATATTTTTGGTACTGAAATGATGAATATGAATTTTGATTTAACAACAGCAGCAGCATTGGCTGCATTAGCTACAGCTTCAATAGATTCATCCTTATTAAGTACAAATACGAATCAAACGGAAAATATTTCAAATGAATGCTCAAAATCTTCTCCTACAGAAACAGATGATTGTTATAATGAATCTAGTAATGATTTATCCTCCAGTCTACCAGCAAAGAAAGCACGTTATGATATAGACACTGTATGTAAATTGGAGAATGATAAATAAAACTATTGTGTTTCTTACTTGATAATATGAAGCATTCTCTATTTTCTGAATAATAGTGACTAAGGTTGTTCTTGTACAACACACACAATGGTAGAAATACAGAGACACTTGATTTATTTTTCAGTGAAACTTTAATATTTCCCCGCATTTTGTTCATTTATGTATATGCATGAATTTGTAAAACTGTTAACTGTAAAAATGTTTGAAAATATACTTAAATTAAATTTTATTATAAACATATTACTTCTTTTTTTAATATTTGATAACTAATAGTCTTTCATCATTTTATTTTGTATGTATGATTGCATGATTGTAACAGTGTCCAACAAATGCGGCTTATCTATATAGTCCATTAACTGGAACTAGTCATGAAGTAATGCTATTTCATCATCATACAAGTTCACCATATCCAGGAAATTCGACTAGTGATTACAGTACTGATCATAGTACAAATTCACCCGGTGTACTGGAGTCAGTTGAGGTAGGCAACTGTCAGTTTTCGGCTTTTAATTGCATCTATTAATTAAAGCCAAAAAAAATATTAGTTTGTAACGTTTAGATGCAAATTAAATCGTTAATATAACTTCGAAATGTTAATCGTTCCTTAAAAAAATTAGTCAGTGTGTTGCTAATGGTGTCCTAAGTTGTTTCCTGTTTGTTCAGTATTTACTATTCTTAAGGGAGACAATTTAAGCATTTCAGTTGAGAACACATATATGTATCCTTGTGTTATTCATTGTTTGATGTGGTTATATTATATTTATTCACTATCATTTGGTCATGTATTGGTCATTTGTTTGAAACTGTTTGTTTTCTTTTTTCATCTAAATGCTTAGTTATCTAACCTTCCTGTTACTTTTATTTTATCTGTAAAATTTGTTATTATTGTGTGGTTCTTTGCATTATATATAAATGTGTTTGTTAGTATGGATAATATGAAATTCTTAAGTCTATTGTTTTCATCATTTGCTTTTTTTGTCATGAGTTTGTGTGTGTGTGTGTTTGAGTGTCTGCGTGTGTGTGTGTGTGTGTGTGTGTGTGCGTAGCGTTTTGTTTTAAAAAGAAAAGTCGGTTACTATTTGTCTTCTGTTCTGTTTAATTTTTATTTTATTCAGCCTTTAAGTTTTCAATGTGATGGTACACCAATTGGTTGTCATACACAACAACAACAACAATTTAATGGGAATCAGTTAACTACTAATATTTACAATAGTACACCAATGGATGCTTCATGTTTATCTCCGTATACCACAGCAACATTTACGCCTATCTTAGAATTTCATTCCCATTCAAATTGTTTAAATCAACAGAATTCTATTCATCCAATGATAGCAGCATCAGCGACAGCCGCTCAGATACAACAAAATTTACGTCAAAATCAATTAACCCAACAAGCTAATCATCATCATCAAACTAATACAACGGTAGTATCAATTGTTAATCCACCTATTCAATCACCACATCATCATAATAAAATATTTACTGCAAATGCTACAACGTGTACACGTCATTTACCAAATACTATTTATGCAAATCCTTCCGTGAGTTTTGTTGAAATTATATTTTAAAAGAAATACAATAAATTCACTTATAAAATAAAGGTAAATAAATATTTTTCACTTCTATTATTATTAGCATACATAAGATTTTAAAATCCCTCTATGCTCTTTTTGTATAATTACCACATCAGTTAAGTGATGATAAATTAAGCAAGTTTATCATTTTAAAATTCCAGACAAGTTTAAGCGAGTTCGTATTGATAAAGTCAGTAAGTTCTGGAAAAGTGGTTTGTCCGTCATTTCGCATATTTTGTGGTCTAAGGATGGAAGTCGTTCCCCTCGATCAGTAGGTATTATAGTTATTTATGGCTATAAAAGAAATGGCTGATGAAGTCAAGGAAATTAAGTATAGATCAATACTCAAGCTTACATGACCGTGTGAGAACTGCGAGAGAGTTATATATGAATTGTTAACATCTGTGCCAATAGAAACGAAAGATTTCCCCCTTCAATATTATTTTACTTAATTATGGATATGATGATGAATATGGTTAACTGGCGGATTTCCAAGAATTGACATCCTAATCGAGAAAAAGGCGGGTAAATTACAATGTGTAGACGATATTAATTTCTCAGCAAACAGTACTGACTGCGTTCAAGTTCTTCTGAATTCATTCAAAAAAAGAACTAACTATTGAGTTTGTCGCTATGAGTTTTGTGTTCGCTTAGATGGAAGGACTTAGTAGACAAATTGTAATCACCATAGGTTCAGTCAAATCTAACTTGTCACTTGTGTAAACTTGTCTTCAACTTAACAAACTTTGTGTTACCAACAGATGAAAGCTGTAGATGATGTGACTCATCATTTGTGCTTAGTAGGATGCTAAAGATTCGTCATTTAGTCACCTTTTTCCGATACTTTTTTAGTTTATATACCTTTCCGAATAGTTCCTGAAAATTCTAATAATCACCTCTTCAGTGGATATGATTTTTCGTGATTCCCCTGAGCCAAAAAACCTAAAGTTCCATCGCCTTCTTAATATAGGCTCACTAATTTAGGAGGAAAAAATGAAATCAAAGGGGAAATCTAAAATTTACTCAAGTAATTAATATGAACTGTTGTACAAGAGGTGGCTCTTGTGGCCCAAGTGGCGTTTGAAACTATGGGCACTAGGTCTGAGCCTCGATGGGAACATCACCACTGATTCACTGGGGAATATGGGTATATCCGACTGATGAGTCCATAATAGGACGAAACTCGCATCCTGGATTTCACTGCTAGTCACTATTCATAAATTAAATTCTATATTAGAATATGAATATTTTTTAAAGTTTTTCTTTTTTTGTTTCCTCTTTTTATTTTAGCAAATCAAAAATGGTACATTGACTGATATCAATTCACCAAGTGATTTAAATCTGTCATCAATTGCTCAAATTCAATCTGGTACTACAGTCGCTGTACAAATTAATAGTAATATTAGTAGTAGCAGTAATAATAATAATAGTAGTAGTAATCCTAGTAATAGTGTTAATAATAATAATAATAACAATTCCACAAATAATCCAATTTTATCACAATCATCAACTTCTGTTGCGCTAACGTCAACCACGACATCATAATTCATATTAAAAAAATTAAAGTTACTATTTTTTATGTTAGAAAGATGAAAAATGCGTCTGTTGTTAAACTTTCTATTTTTTTCTATGGCTATTTTCTTGCACTTATTCGTTTTCCTACTATACATCTTCCTATACATCTTTTTTTTGGTTACATAACTCACATACTATTCTTATTCCAAATAATAGTATTAAAAAGTTGAGAAGTTTTGTTTATATTTTGGAGACACGGATTTTTCAACTGTTTTTTCTATTACTACTTCTATTGTTATTATTATTATTATTATTATTATTACTTTATACATTTTTATTCGACTTTTATAGCTCCGATGTATCTTACTCAACCTTCTGTTATTCTTATTACTATTTATATCATTCGTTATGTGTTCTAGCGACATGTTCTTACCGGCCTGATCACCTACAAGTTGGCGACTGTTTTTTTCTTTTTTATTATAGTCCTTCTGTCATTGCTACGCATACTATGTGTTTGTTATTACTCTATCTACAAGGACAGTAAATTAATTACCTTTTTAAGACTTCGTATAAAACGAAATTATTCCATGCGATTATTATTAACTACTACCACTACTGATACTAATGCTATTCACACAGCCATCACTTCCCATTATTGTTATTACTATTATGACTAATCTTTAAACTTACAATTCCTTATTTAAAACAAAAGTAACTTTGAAGAAGATGAAAGAATCAAGACTTAGAAGAAAGAAAGATAAAAAAAGAAAAGATTGAGAAAGATTACATGTTGTTATTGTTTGTGTTTTCTTGTTATTGTTGCTGTTTGTCTTTCTTGTTCCTCTCCTTTTATTTTTAATAAAAAGATGAAAAGATTGCCAAGTTATTTCAGTAAAAATTTAAAAAAAGCAACAGTGAATGACTTTCCTACTCTGTTCATACCATGACATAAAGAGATAAGCTCAATTTTCAATATATATTACACTATTATTACTTATATGTATCTCGTATTTATACCTATACGTTCTATTATTATTACTGTAACAGTTATGTTCGGTTCTGTTTTCACCTTTACGCCTTAACGTTTTGTAAAATTTGTTAGTTTTGTTAATATGTACCTTTCTACATTGATATATATATATATATGATGTTTTTCTCCTTGTTCATATTTTGTTATGGATATTTTTAAATAAAAAACAGTAAGAGTTATTTTTAGTTTTTTGTTCCCTGATGTTTTCGGCAAAGTTCAATATTCCACTGTCCAAGAGTCACAGTACACCAATGAGTAATTGCTCCATAAAGCTGACCCTAATTTATTTCTAACTAAGCCTAATATCTCCTTCACATTTCGAAGTGTAGAACATAGAACTTCAGCCTATGAGTTTTGAAGTTTCAGTAGAGTTAGTGTTTTATTTTTAGGGAGTGGGGTTGCTAGCCTCATTCCAAACCTTGCCTATTTCATCAGCCTTATAGTTGGTTGGCAAACTAAGCCACATTTGAGGAGTAAGTCAGCCAGGATTCGAAACCTGTACCATATGAGGCGTGGTTAACAAGAATTGTAACCCTAACCTGTCCCCAGCCCATACCTAACATTAATCTTTCATAACAATAATGAATGTTAAATGATGAGTGAATGAAAATGATATTTTTGGTACAATGATAGTTGGTAGTCAGAAACGTAGAGTGGGTAAGAGGAGTTCATATAATACAGAGTTAACCTCAACAGGAAAATAAATTTAGTAATGAATAATTTTACAGTTTCAGAAACTGTTTAGTCTAAATAATTCATCGTAGTTAATTATTATTATTATTATTATATTAATGAGGATTGCAGGATGATTATACTATAGTTTAAATATATTGAACTTTGTGTTTTCGATCAATATTGACAGTTATTTTATTGATTGATGCGATAAAGCGTTTAAAAATACCTCATCTTCTAAAATAAGCTATTATTTTACTTACTACCTATGTATATATATAACAGATAGAGGAAGGAAAAACAAACTGAATAGTTTCTAAACCCAGTAAACATTCGGTTTATATATGACTCATATAATATTATAACTGCTATTATTTTTTTGTATTTACCATAAGATAGTTGTGATGATCTCAGTGTTAACTGTTGATTCTTTAAATATGTTTGTAGGACTAACAGATATATATATATATATAAACTGTAAATTGTGAGTTAGATACTTCGTGTCCATCAAAGTGTTTATTTGTTTTGGTGTTATTTGATTTGTTCATCCTAATCTAACAAAATTACAGTAATACAACCGAAACAGTGAAAACTCTTAAATGAAAAGATAACTACCATGGTGATTTAATTAGACGTCAAAAAAAAATATATAAAAACTAAGAGTAAATACCAGTATGTATACTGGCTCTATTCAGGTAGTCAGTTACCTGGGGTTCCAGTGGGAAGTCGTGACCAGTAGGGTGCAGCAGGTCTGAAGTGAGGACAAATACTCGCTGAAGACATTGGCTAGCGGTTGCGCTATATCGTGAATTGACAGAAGTTAGAATTCATGAACTGGGCATTGGATCGGGTCCAAGTGGCTTAATTGTATACCAGCTAGCCTTGTAACCAGAAGGTCCTGCGTTCGAACCCCATGATGTGGGTGCGTACTGCTGAAGAGTCCCAAACTAGGACGAAACAGCTGTCCAGTACTCCCAGGTTTTCCAATGGTTCTCTAACTGATGTCAGCTCATGATGAAATTCTGTAACCAATCAACCAAATCTCCATAAACTAATACTTAAATATATACATAACGTTTAATATCTAATCGGAATACAAATTACTATTTTTTTATTACTTTGGATTCCGAAAGTAACACATGGCTGCAATCTGGAGTAAAAAAATTTCACAAGCAATGGTGTTTATTTTTTACGGGGTAGATTTGCTAGCCTCATGTTCAACCCTCTTTCTTTATTGGGCTTAGTGGCCAAGTGTGGTTAAGGGTTGCATTCGCCATTAATTGAATACATTCCCTTGAGCGTAGTTAGGAAGCATTCTATCACTGAACTATTGATATGAATACAATATTCCGCAAAAATAGAAATGTATAATGAATAGTCTGGCTCCTATTGACTTAAATTGTTCGTCCCGCTTTGAAATTAAAGTTAAACTTGACTTCCGTGAAGAAAATATGTATTAAGGTAAAAGCGAAAAGGAATGTTGTTAGGCTATTCAAATGTATTAGAATAATTATGTCTAAATACTAGTTACATCATAGAAAATTCCCATCAGCACACAGACTATCAAAATAAATGATTCTCTGAAGAACCTCATTTTAATAAATTTCTTACCAAGCTCTAGAATTGTTAGTATATATCAATTTTTCTAAATAGTAATGTGAGTTGTTACAAAAATAATTGGTTATATGCTTTATAGATTAGATGAACAAATGTAAAAATCTTAAGGGGTTGTAGAAATAGTAAGATTAGTAGGCCTCGCTACGGCGTGCTTCAAGTTTTCATCAACCTCATTCAAGAGCTGACCATATGACAATGCCACGTGGCAGGAGATCGACAACGGAAAACTCAGTGAGGCGTTCGAAGTGAATACAGGAGTAGCATGAGGCTGCCTATTATCATCGATGATATTCTTAATTGTCGTGAACTGGATTATGCATCAGACTGTACGTGAGGAGTTAGAAGACAGTAATACGCTGGATCACAGATAAGAAAATTCTAGAATATCGGGATTTCATGGATGATTTATGTCTAATGTCAAGTAAACTAGAAGACTTATAGGCGAAAACTTACAAACTGACAGATGAGATAAGCATCGAAGACAGGACTGCAGGTGAACATAGAGAAGACGGAAGTGGTTAAGATAACCAACGAACAGCAACAACAACAACCAGCAACAATCACAATCTACAGGAGAGATCTAACAGAGGTTGCCTCCTTCACTTATCTAGGAAGCAACATTTCAACAACAGGCGAAACGGATGAAGATGTCAAAACCAGCCAGAATTGGAAAGTCAAGATACGCCTTGATCAACCTGAAAACAGTTTGGAAAGTTTCTATACCCAGTCAATATGAAGAACAAGATTCGGATTTTTAACACAAATGTGGAGTTGATCCATCTGTATGGGTCAGAAACTTGCTCTGTGTTTCACGAAAAGGATTTCCAACAGGCCAGCGCAGACTTTCATCAACAGCTGCCTTCGCTCCATACTGAAGATCAAATGACCGAATTGCTAGAAAGAATTAACAACAAGAAATTATGGGAACAAACCCACAAGCAAGAACCGATTGCCCAACAAATATGCAGGAGAAAATGGAGATGGATAGGGTATACTTTGAGGAGGCCATCGAAGGACATCACGCTTAATACGGGCCATTGTTCCTGTGGAACCCAAATGGAAAGCAACGAGTGGGCCATCCGACTGTGGAGATAGTATGAGGAGGAGATGAGAGATTATGGTCACTCAAGGAACCATTTGAAGGGGACAGCAGAAAATATAAGAAAGCTGAGTTGTGTTGTTGAAGCCCCCTATGTTCCACTTGGGACCCAAGGGAATAATAATAATCCTATATGTCTTCCATGGCATGGTAATATGTCCTACACCACCAAGGCTTGTCAAATGATTGTAAAAATTTTATATTTTGTGATTTGTAAATTTAATTCTATTGTTTCCTCTTAAAGTTTAAGAATACATCCATTTAAATAAAGTTGATATTGTCAAACAAACATTACACTGGATCTTTATCACTTATGATAATAATTTAATCAAATGACTAACTGAAAATGACACCGTGTAAGATAACATTTATCGAGTTTCAGAGATTTGATTAGTTCTAAATAAGATCACAGCAGGCTCCCCTAGTAAGCTGATTTTCCTGGATTCGATCTTTAATTGGGTTATAGCTGAGTACCTCTGAGGAGTCCCAAGACTACGGTGAAACAATTGTTCAGTAATCCTTGGTTTCAAAAACTTCTCTAAATTACATGAGTTCATGATCTAACTTCACATAAAATGCTTTGAATGACTTGTGTTTAAACCACTAACTGTACCTTCAGCTAGATTTCAGTTAGAAGACCATTGTAAACCAAGAAGCACTACACTGCTATTACACCCTAGCTTGAATTTCTATACTGGTGCACTACACGACTACAGGAAGAGTCAAACTGTGAACGATAATGTGAAGGTTATAGGCTCCCTTGTTGATAGACATGGTAAGGAAGATCTCAGACTAGAATGAAACACTCGTGCAAAACGCCTTGGTTTTGAGTGACTATGAAAATGAGATATGTTCCTGATGAACCCTCCCTTAGAAATAATTAGTTCTTCATTAGACCTAAATTTGTACAAAAACGGGAATTGTTTTAACATTGATGTCATTTATTGCAGTTATACTAGTTATCCTGATGACATATAGTTTAGAATAACAAAAGGTCGTGATGCTGTTCATAATGTATGTCGTGTACATTTTTGCCATCTTAGCAATAAATGTGTACAGAACTACAACAACAAAGGGATTGTTAGATATATTTGGTTGTATAAAAGTTAATTCTATCTTCTTACAATATGAATTAAACCAGAATTACTACTATTATGGATTGATCCATTCATTTCTTGTGTTCTGAGTATGATATAGACCATCAGTATCACAATTCTACTACAATCGGTTTTCTGTTATCCCTTTCGACTGGCTTCACGACTGTCTAAAAATTTTTATTTTCTTCTCACATAATCCCCCACATTTTAGATTTGTTCGAATATAAATCGGTTCCAGGATGAATATCATCGTTAGCACTCACGAGGTGCGCAACATAGATAACACTGAAATAGAGACCAGGTCGGAAATTAAATATCTTGGAGACATTCTATCTGCTAGTCTTTCCTCGTCGTCTCATATCTTGATGATTTCTAAGAAAATATTCCATCTTACCTCTTCTACATCAAAAAGTTAAGACATTCCGGTATAACCCAACCCTTACTCCCACGATTCGTTAACTCTTGAATCCTGCCTATTATTCTCTATCATTCCCCCTTATGTTTTCCTGGGCTATTGAAGAAAGACTATATCTTATTACGTAGGATGTTACAGGTTGTCAGCAGAGTAAGCAATGTGCCACTTAACCAACCAGCTTGTTAATATTCTGGTTGACAGTCACTTGGACTCATGTGAAAAATGGGCTAAATCCATTCTATCTATCTAACTCACACCACCACCCTCTTCATTCACAAC